TTGGTGGATGGATGAATGGAGATGTGTGCACTGAAACACTCTTGTAAGCTGAATTGACCCCCCTGATAATACGGTATATTTGTTTACTTTAAGGTTCCAAAAAATCTGGAAATATATTGTCTTGATCTTTCCATCAAAAATTATATCAATACATGATCGTTTGTGGAAATGCCCTCATCCTGACATCATCCCTGCGATTGAGGCCCTGGCTATGGGCAACATTGAGCACCAGCACCTTCACTGACACCATCTCGGCATCAATTTTAGGCACCATCACGGCGCCTTCACTGATACCATCTCGGCATCAATTTTAGGCACCATCACGGCGCCTTTAATGTTGTGACACCACTAGGGCATCACTTCTTTGACACCATAAAGGCATCATTGTGACACCATTGAGGCATCACTTTTTTGACACCAGTAAGGCATCATTATGACACCATTAAGGCATCACTTCTTTGACACCATAAAGGCATCATCATGACACCATTAAGGCATCATTTGACTGAGGCTGAGGCGTAGTGGTAGTCGTCGTTGTAGTCGTAGTCTCATGACACTGATAGGGCGCAATTTTTTGACACCAGCAATAAAATATTTCAAGCCGGTGTTTTTCTATTAAAACACATGGGTTGGGTGTAATTTGCCAGCCCTGACCATTTTACAACAACAAAGGCTTAAAAAGGTTTGGTAATATTAGGGTTATGTAAGGGGATATCCCTCCAAAATATGGCCTTATATGGTACAGTACATCCATTTTAGGATCCTGGAATTCCCATTGAAGAAATATCGTTGCTTTTTGGGAACGCCCTGCCCCCCCCTCTCTCAGAAGATAAATGCATTTCAAGTCTAGCAAAAAAAATGCCAGCAAGTTCTTCACTGAATATGATGCCTATCAGTGTACGTTTATGTAAAAAAAAACGCATGACACGTTCTCCACAATTTCTATGTCAACTTTGTTTTCAAAACATGTTAGAAACACACAAGCGTTGCGTAACATTTTTTTTGAGTTGCATTTTTTGTTGAAAACCTTTTCTGTCACAGAACAGGCTCAAACCGTTTGAAAGTTTTTGGGCCAAAATACATCATGAATTCTGATCAATGTTGAAACATTTGAAGCAAACAGATACCCGCCACCGCTGGGTACCGTCCGGCACTCCCAAAAATGACCAGGTCCCAGGAGCTCCAAAAGCTGTTAATTAAGGAAACCCTCGTTGTTTAAGGAAACCTCGCTTAAAAACCTTTTCTTGAGGACATGTTGTTTCCCTAATTAAGGGAAAACATTGCCATTGCTTCATTACAGAAAAACTTAATTAAACGTTTTTCCTTAAATAAGGAAGGTTGTGTTATTTAAGGAACCTTTTTGTAAGGAAACATTCCTTAATTAGTTAAAGAGAAACCTTTCTTTATCTTAATCCGTCACTTTTGGAAGTGCTGGGAATTTGTTTTTTTGTCTAACTTCTTAACTCTAACTTCCGACTTTCTGAAGTCTAACTTCCGACTTATGAAGAGGCTGTAGTGAGGGAGTAGAAGCATTAGATGTGTGGGTGATCAAAATAATCAAAAAAAATAGCAGGCACAAAAGCACAAAGCTAACCACCAGCAAGTCATGCATTGCCCATTGTCACGAACCAATACCAGATTGATCAAACTGTCCGCAAATACATTCAACTCATTCTTGTTCTTGTTCTCTTCGACCACCATCCGATATGCGTGAGGTATAAATACTTTGTTGGGAGAAATGATGTCCAGACCCTTGGTGTTAACACAAGCCATCAGATTATCATCCATAATGCAACTCGCAAGCGGAAGAACTTCTTAATGTCTTAGAGCACGAAAGATAGACTTTCCAGTCCAGAACTCATTTCGATTGTTTGACCTTTCCATTGCTACCAGGGAGACGCCAATTACTTTTGTCCATCCTCACATTCGACTGGAACTTCAATTGAGTTTCTCTCCAATCTTGAATCAAACGATGATCACAGGGACAATCATCACAATCACTTGGAACGAACATCTCTCTTCTTGGTATGTTGTGGATCCTTTCCAGAATATGATCTCCTACCCATCTCCATTCATCACGAGTAGGTACTTCATCTTGGCCACATTCGGTTGCTGATGCTATTTTCTTGGTATTTCTTCTCCGTATCGGCGGTTTCTCCAACTTAACAGTTCCATAAATGATTTGTTGAACGTCTTGGGGTCTTTGAACGGTTTCGCATCCTCCATGCCTCTCCCCCATGAACAAGGCGTGCCAGGGCATTGAGCTAATATTCATGGGATTCCCTTCATAGAGTGAATACGGAATCTTCTGATGACGTTGAGCTTGTTGAAAGAGAATTTCAGTACTGAATGTGAGGCTCGGATTGCTCAGTTCCGACGTCGACGCACGTTGGAACCGAGAACTGGCCGCCGCGGACACGCTTACGGGCAGTGAGACAACCGGAGCGGAAATGGGGTGATGATACTGGAAACATGTCCGTTCAATCCATTTGTCAAAGCGTGATTGTTGTAATGGTGGAACACGATCCTTAACCTGTTCCCACTTCCCATGGACTAAGATCCAGGTGCTCCGTAGACAATCTGCAGGAAGCTCTTGTTCTGAACAAAGTAGGAGCCTTGACCACAAATATGGGATCCATACCAGGTAATTCTTGAAGCTTTTCGCGACTTGAAAGACCCTTACGATACACCTCAGGTGGCAGTATGGGTGTTTCAGTGTATGGAAAATTGGGAACCTCATCTGTCCTTGATTGAAAAACTTGCCGAACTGTAGTGTCAACATCCGTAGTGGGCCGCACTAAGTCTGCCAATTGCTTCGAACCAAGGTCTTCGGGTTCCAAAAGATTGATTAACATGCAAGCCTTCTTCCAGGCCAATGGGTTTGTAAAACATGTTGTGTGGATGTCCGCGGCCATCTTCGCTGTAATCTCGTACATGAGAACGAAGTGATCCTTGCTGAAATGCTCATGTAATGACGTAATAGAAATTCCATGAGTCCTTTCCAGATGCCGCATTGTTGGATTCCTTCCAGAACGAACCACACCAATCATCCCTTGATTGTCATCATGAAATAACAACTTTGGAGATGAATCTGTCAGCGTTTCCCAAATACTGAGTGCAGGAAGACCCATTGTTCGAAGGGTTACATAAGCGGCTACGATCTCAGCCTCAGGTGTAGAATGGCTCACACATCCCTGGCGTTTGCTCCCACCAGCTAGTGGAAACCGAGTACGTTTCCCCTGAATATGCATATGAGAACCTGAAGTGGACCTCACAATGATTGTGCACATCCGGCAAAATCAGCATCTGCATACAACGCTATTGATAGGTCTTTCATATCATTGCCGACCCATCCAATCATTCTCTTCCCTAAGGTAGAGTTGACATAGCACATTAGATGGTATAACTTTGCATCATCTTGAATGGACCATTTCGTCACATTGCGTGCTAATGTATTGATTGATCTCAACAAGTCAAATCGGGCGATCCTTGCTGCATACAAAAGCTTCATCAAGATGCTAGCAGCATAAGGAGCAAGCGCACCTCGTTGGACTTCAACAGATTCCGGCCGAGAATCGGAGGCATCGGGGCTGTAAGGCAACCGACGATCCAGGATCAAATTTTGTTGAACACCAGGGACATCGAACTGCATGCTTGGGATCCCCAGGTGCTGGTGCTCGAGACTTATGTTACGTTGTTTTGTCTCTTCAGGGAGACTAGGGGTTGAGACTTGTTTCAACTTAGTATCTTTCCCCACAAGTTCAAGATACTTGTCAACGGAGAGCTTAAGGAGACCTTCCATATTGTAGGTCATAGTGGTGACCTCTTCTGTGCTATCATGCAGGCGATTGGTTCCTTTGCTTAGCAAACAACCAAGGTAGAGACCCAAATCGGTCTCGGGTTCAATTCGCAGCTTAGACCTTAATAGCTCCCATCCTTTGGTGAGATTCTGTGCTGGCCCAGCTAGCTTAAGGTCATCAAAATAGATAACCAGTAAAAGTTTCAAGCCTTTATGAAAGTACATTGATGGCCATTCCTCCCCAACAGGCATGAATCCAACTTCACGGACATGTGTATCACAATGTTGTTCCCACATCGTGCCCGCATCAGGATGATCATAAAGACAAGTCGCACTACCTGTCTCCTGAACTTCCGGATGTCAATGTCGTCGGGCCATGCGTCTTCGGGGGGCTCGACCCAACAAGGAGGTCCCGTAAGCCTCGCTAGTATGTACGCCTGTATGGCGTCTGCCAGCTTCAGGATGCAACCATAGAAATCTGCCCATCGGGAGGCTTCAAATGTAGCCGGAGAATTGCCGAGGTCCTGAAAGAACGCGGCTTCCCAGTGCTGATTCTTCACTTGGTTTCCAAGTAGTACGCCTCGACCTTTGAACTTTCTCCCAGGGCTCCCCTTCGGTAACTGGTAGTTCTTCTCGACACAAATGCCGTGAACTCGTGCCATATGAACTTCTTTGCCTTCACGTTTAGCTTCTGCCACAACATCATCGTATTCACGAACAATGAAGAAATCGTGCGCTCCTTGCTTATGCTGTCCCAACCACTCATTCCTCATAGAAGCCTTGGCGTCCGGGTCTTCCATCATCTCTTTGCGGCCAACGGGCCGTGAGACCATCGCGTTGTACATCTTCCCGAACCTCATTTCACCTTGACCGAACTTCTATGCTCAAGATCTTGATGAACACAAGGCATACAAGGAATCGAACTCACGAAGTGGTCGACCTTGGACTTGCCGTCGGAGTCTTTTAAGTTAGAAGCCGTTGGTGCAGCTTTAGCAGGCGCCACGATCTTCCCAGTGTTGAAGTCGTAGTGAACATCTTCCCAGTGAGCTTTTGGTCCATTACCAACTTCATGTTCAGACCATTCATCCCATTCGTTCAAGAATTCTTGACCATCATCATCACTTGGGATGTTTGCGCTCGTCTCGCTGGGAGTTGCAGGAGAGGTGTTGTTGTGCTTCTTGAAGTCGACGAGACCATTAAATCACGGGTCGCCGTTGGGCATACCCGATCGCCATGATCCCTGACATGGTTCAACTTCCTCGGTTCACGGGTCGCAGGTATGCATACCCAATCCCCTCGGAGTGTCCCCACGCCAGCAGCAGCGTCCTTGCTGCCATCTTTGCCTGAGCTCTCCTTCGACTCTTTATTACTCTTTTTCTTCTTCTTTCGACTTCCATCTTTTGGTGGATCCTTGTGTGAACTATTCTTCTCGGCAGCTTCAGCTTTGGCCTTCTTCTCTTTCTCCTTTTTCAACTTGATCTCTTTGAGCTTTTCGGCCTCGGCTTCTAGCTGACCACGACGAATGATGACATCCCTCTCCTTGGCGGACAATGCCCTCCATTCTTCAGGACTGTAACTGCTCTTTGGCCTTGGTGACCCACGTACTTCTATGGTGCTCCTATAGAGTTATAAGTAGTTATACCTTTAGCTATACAAAAAGTTATGAAAAGTTATGAAGTGAAGCAAATATCAACTATTTTGTCACATTTTTATAATTTAGAAAAATTGAAAGACATTTGTTTTTATTGTATCGAAAACAATATTTTTCAAATTACAGCGGCCGAGCCGCTTCGAAGTTGTTTTTTTTTAAAATGCGCGGTTTTCACCGCTTCCATGGGTAAGTGTTACGTCATATGTTATTTCACTATACACTGATTGAAGCGGTTTAAACCGCTACAAGTGGTAGAATACCATTTGGAGAGGTTGAAACCGCTACAGTTCATGGAGCATGCATACCCCTATCAGCCATGGAGCGGTTGAAACCGCTACATTTTTTTGCTTCTGTGCCAGTGTTGGGCTGACTTTTGAGTGTGTTTGTTTTTTTTCATAGCCATGAATTGCCAATGGGAATTGTTTTGCAAATTCACGGGTTTTTGGATATCTTGACGTCGTATTTTTTCTTTAGATGTTTTCAAGTTTCAATCTTTTGAGATTGTTTGTGATTGCAGAGATGGTGAAAGCTGCATATAATAATAGTCTGATGAAATAGTTGAGCTTACAATGCTATAATTTTTGGACGCTGTATTATCTAAGTCATGTTGTCAGGACTGTGAATTCATTGAGATCTGTAAGTCAATGATTTTGTGAAATCTCATTCTTTCAAAGTAAGTCCCAACCCCAGGACTTACAAAGTTCAAACAGAGTTGAAGTCCAGCAGGCTTCACAAACTAATACCTTGCAAAATTATATGGCAAAACCTTTTGGATTCAATCAGGTTCTCATAGATTAGGTTTCTAAACTTGACAGATCACCTCAACTCCAAATGAGGGAATGTGCAATTGGTTTAAAATGTTAAAACCGCAATTTTGCCAAATTGATTTTGAAGCTATAGTCTGATAAATCTAAAGATGAAGAGGGAAAAAAAGGCAGTTGATGAATAAAGAATACCGCCAGTATACCACCAGTATACCATCAGTATACCACCAGTATACCACAAAGGCCTTTACAGGTTTGGATCAGGGATTTTGTTTTCACATTGTGGTGCAATGAAACTTTTTTTCAATTTCAGTCTCAAGATTGCTTTGCATTGCATTGCATTGCGTTGCATTGCATTGCATTGTTCAGTCTGAAGCGCATTTCAATTTAAAGCTGACAGCACTGAGGCCTATGAGAGTTCAATGAATCCTTTTTTTTCTTGTGTTTAGTCTGAAGGTAGCTTTGCATTGCATTGCATTGCATTGTTCAGTCTGAAGTGCATTTCAATTTAAAGCTGACAGCACTGAGATCTATGAGAGTTCAATGAATCTGTTTCTTCTTGTGTTCAGTCTGAAATGCATTTCAATTAAAACCCGACAGCACTGAGATCTACGAGAATTCTGTTTTTGCTTTTCAGCTTGTAATGCATTTCAGTTTGTCACTACGGTGTGCACTTCATAGTCAAGAGCAAGAAAAAAGAGACCCAAGATGAAGTCAAATACATTTAGTGTCTGTAACTTGTCTTTTTGGTTTATACTTGGGTAAGGGCATCACAAAACTCTGGCTATATGTTTGTTGATGGCGGTTGATAGGTTTCAATGTAGCGGTTAAAACCGCTTCAATGTAGCGGTTAAAGCCGCTTCAATGTAGCGGTTAAAACCGCTTCAATGTAGCGGTTGAAACCGCTTCAATGCTAAACCCTTTCTCCAGGGGGAAGTAAAAAAAATAATGCTGCAAGTCTGCTGAAAATGGCTGTTCAAACAAAAACGGCTTTTAGCGGTTTGAAAAGCGCTCCGTCTAGCATTTTTTAAAGCAGTTGAAACCGCTTCAAACAGCAAACACTCAAAATCATCAAAAAGATCAAAATTTGATCAATTTTAAAGAAACTTTTTTTATAGCAAAAAAAAGTTACGAAAAGTTAGCTAGGAAGTTATGACTTAGTAACTTAGTTATACCTATAGGTTATAATCGAGTTATAACTCTATAGGAGCACCATAGTTTTCTTTGCGGCCATCAGGACCAACTCGATAAGGTCGTCCTCGTTTGTCGAGCTTGACGTGCTCGCCAATGTCGCTGAGGTAGATGATACCGTCACCAGGTTTACCCATAGAGTGATGTTCAGGCCCATCATATGGAGGTTCACCACCAGGAGGAGGTACAGGAGGTTCACCAACGACTTCAACTTCATCGCTTTTCTCAGTGTCGAGCTTGACGTTCATTTCATCCATCATGCAATTGAACTCTTCTTCTTGAAGTTCGACTCGGTTGGTGATCTTTCCTTTCTTGGGTTTACCATCGTCTCCATCTCCGTCATCATCGTCTTCATCATCATCATCATCATCACCATCATCATCATCATCATCACCTTGCTGATCTTCAAGAAAGTCAGGTGATCCTTCAAGACGATCTTTCACAGCCAACCCTTCCAATGTAGTGTTCACCTTCTCGTAGATGTCTTTGCATGGGAATGTCAATGGCAAGTGCACCTCGATCTTCTCAGTGAGGTGTGGATGGCGTAGCTTGTCGATGATAGTCTTGGCATTGAATGAGTAGTTCTGCTTTGTCATGTCCGACAACGCCCAAGCCATATATTGCCTTCGCCAATTGATGCCCGGAGCAATTTCGTATGCAGCAAAGACACCAGGGATACCCTTGGGATCAAACTTGTGAGCTTGTTCGTTGGCTCTTGCTCCACTCGGTTTGAAGTAAACCATTGCACCAAATGGGATCTTGTCGCCCTTGAACTCGGCGCCATGGAGCTTGCACCATGCACTCACATCATCTTCACCAGGTTCCACATTGAGTAGATGACATACACATCGTATGGCAAACTTCCAGAAACATGCTGGTAGTCCGGCCTCAAGTAGGCATGTAGTAGTTGTTGCAATGACGAACTGGTTGTTGCGCTCGGCAAGGGAGTTCGTAGATGGTCTTCCCGGCAAGGCATGATCAAAAGGAATCTTGAGTGCTTCCATGCCCTTGACAAACTGTCTAGCTTTATCTGAGTAGGCTTCTCTGATGGCCCGCCTTCCCATAAAGTTCTTCACCGCCCTCACAACATCCTCAGCATTCTTTGTTGGAAAGGGGTAACTTTGGATGATGCCGGTAAACCTGTCACGAATGACAAGAATCTCCTTGACCGTGTCATAGCCCAACTTGGTCGTCTTGCGAGTATCCATGAAGTCAAAGGTGATGAGGTCGCCGAACTTTGTGAGCTTGCGGCGAAATGCACCTCGGTAGGTCTTGTGATGCTTCATCTTGGCTCGCACAAAAGAGTTGCAGTACGGATTCTTGTATCGATGTGTCAGTAGGTGTTCCAGGGTACGAGCTTCGTGTTTCAGGCTACCTCTCTTCGATAGTCGTACTCCTCCGTCAGGATCATCCTCATCATCTTCTTCTTCATGCGGTCCGTTCTCAACACCAACTTCATCTTCATCAGGTTGATCAACTTCTGGATCATCATCAGCTGCTGGGATTCGATCATCGTCATCGTCGTCCCCATCCTCATTCTGGCCAGGGACTTCATCGATGCGAGCATCCTCCTCATCCGGTCCTTCTTCACGGATGGAAGGTTCGTAACCATCATCTTCATCATGCTCTTCACCAGCTGCTGCAGGAACTGTCTTTTGTTTATATCTTCTTTTCTTCTTGGTCTTCCTCGGGAGACTCGCTGGCCCGTCGACGACCGTACCAGCTCCGTCATCCGATTCAGACATTTCATCGCCACTTTCGCCATCAAGGAAGATCGTCCTCGATGCCGTGCTGTTGCCCATGAGACCCAACACCTTCATATAACCAACTCAGCCTCATGGCCGGGCGACGGTCGATAGTCTTTTGCCCTGAGGTATACATACGGGATGAGATCAAGAACTTCCATCTTGATCTTATCGCCTTCGGAGTTGATCATGTAGGGTTCTCTCCCACTAGGCCATACAAAGGTGTAACCTTGTTCCATGCATCGTTTTCCCAATGAGAGAACTGATGGAGCGTCCTCCAACACATGAGCCTTGGCAGGTTCATTAAATGTGTCAAAGTCCAAGTCCATCATAGTTGAAGTAGATGTGATGCCATTGGCAGTGTGGAAGTTGACTCTTGAACTCTGGTATGTGTCAATGTCCATCCGGTCAACTCTTGTCGAAGAAATGAGATCATGACCGCTGCCAGAATCCATGATGAAACGTCTGTCCTTGAGCTCGATTGGCATAGTGATGCACATGATGTTATCACGACGTCCATACTTTCCAGGGACATGAGGGATAACTTCCTCATAGCACATCTCTGCACGAGGGTTGTCCTCCAAGTGATCATTGCTGTTAATCATGAGCTTGATGTCACTCTTGGGACCCAGGATGATGTGAACTTCATCAACGTCCGAAAACTCGTTGAAGTCGTCCATCAAAATACCAATTGCACGTGCCCGTGTCATACCCAACTTGGATTGCAATACCCATTGTTGATCATTCATGATATCTTGGGTAGATCTGCATGCCAATGATCGCTTCTGAGCTCTTGACAGGTTTCTCCTTGGTCTATGATTTGAGCACTCCACGAAGTCGGGCTTCACGTACTCAAACGTGTCCACCTGCTCATTGAATTTGACATCCATCTTGACCATCTTTTCGTTTGGCATTGCGCTCGCGATGAAGTCATCATCGTACTCTCGGACCAATGCTGGAGTGGCCTTAGCATCAGGAGTTTTGGTTGATGGTGCAGCCTTTTTGCCCTTCATGCTGGGGTCGTGTTTGAAGGTACACTTGTCGCCCTTCTTGCAGTTGCCCTTCAGCCACCCATAGCAGTTGTGGTCCCTCTTACCTCCGGGAGTTTGAGATCTTCTTGGTGTAGTTGATCTGCCATTTCTGCCCTTACCACCCTTGTCCTTCCTCTTGTCCCAATGGTATTGTGAGTGACTGTACTGGCACTTGTCACCATGTTTGCAATTACCCTTGTTGAAGTGGAAGTGGCAAAAGGTCTTCGATGGGTCTTTGGTGGAAGGTGATCTGGACCTCCGGCGACCCTTGCCCTTGCCTTTGCCATGACTCTTGGGATTGCCGGAAGGCAGAACTGGGGCTCCAGGCTTACCTTTGGGTGCAGGAGCACTTGGCTTTCCGGTCTTACCATCCTTCGGAGCCGGTGTAGGTGCTGCAGGCTTCGGTGCAGGAGTAGTTGGCTTACCAAGGTTGGCGTGGTCCGTGGCGAACTTGTCTCGGGCTGCAATGTTTCTTTCCTCACGCACACGAGCAATGTGTCTCTTCATGATCTCTAGTAGCTCTTTGTAGGTCTTCTTTTTGTCATCATTGTCCCTACCTTTGAAGATAGTGAGGTCAACATGCAACGCCTGAGAACCGTCGATCTTCCTCAACAGGTGATCACGTAAGGTGTTGTCAGATGGTATGTCCTCAACCTTCATATTTGCAATGATCTCAATCCATGCATTGAGGAACTTATCCATCTCCTTGTCACCACGATATTGTAGCTTGTAGATGTGGCTGGCATTGAACAACACTTCATCTTTAGATGTCGTTCTGAAATGATCGAGGATCATTGCCAAAATCTCCCTGCCCATTAGAAAGTTACCTTCTCTCCCAAGCACTTGACTCCTTTGTCTTATCTTAACTCTAACTTCGAATGCTACTTCGCCCGCAGCATCCACCATGTTCTGCAAGGCAATGGATAACTTGGAGTCAATGGATTGCAAGCGAAAATCACCTGAGTCAGCGAGTTCAGCGTAGTCTGGGTCTGGTAGTTGAGCTGGTGTAAGCCATCTTCTCCATGCAGCAGTGTCGGGATCGCCTGATGCAACACAGACAGCCTGCACAACATTTGACCGCCATACATCAAGGTCTTGACACTTGGGCCATGGCTTGACGACGACCCTCTCATGCTCCTTTCTCGAAATTCGAGTGACCCAATCTTTCCCATCTTGGCCAATGTCGCTGCTGGCAACGCTAGCATCTTTGCCATCTTTTCGATCCCATAGTCCAGGTGGATTGTCAGGTACTGGATCATAATCAGGTCCATTACTACTCTTCAACGCCTCTTGACCTTCTTCCACCTGTTGTAACCAACTCTGGTACTCTTTCATCTCATCATAGTGTTGTTGGGATCGCTCTTCAGCCAAACGGAGTTTCTCACGAAGATCATCCATCTCGTTGGTGACCTTGTTGGTAATGGCACCACCCACACTCGGAGGAGGTGGCAGTGCGTATCCATTACTCTTCGCCGTTGATGATCCTGTGGGAGTTCCTACAGGTGCTGCTCCAGATACCGCAAATGATGGAGTCTTAGCTTTGGATGCCGTCACCGAAGGAAACAAGCTCGTAGGTGGCAGAGTTGATGGTGACGCAGGCGTAGGAGTCGCCGGCACTGCCATACTCGATGAAGCCGGCACCGATGTCATAGCTTTCTTGGCTTCTCGAAGCGATAGGCTCAGGTCGGCATTCTTCCTGATCGCAGCATCACGTTCAGTACAAACTAAATGATACATCTTCTTCCACCTCTCTGCTTCTTCTTCTTCTGCATTGACGAGTGTTTAAGCCAAGTTGGGATTGGACTCTATGCCCTCCTGCAATCTCTTGATCTCCAGGTTTGCACGGTGAAGTTCCTCCTTTAACTCCTCGATCGCCTTGACGTTGGTCTCATCACCGACAATGTTGATGCGAGATCCAATGAGATCAGCAATTTGTGATCGGAGTTGAGTGTTCGATTCAATCAACTTCACGTTCTCGTCCATGAATTCGTCCTTGACTGCTTCCAAGCTGACCTCCCTGTCTTTGAAGACCTGAAGCTCAGTGTGCTTGAATTTCCGGTACTCAGCTTTCTCATCCATGAACTGATTCTCGTACCATTCTTTCGAAGCAATCTCGTTCTCATTCAGTTTCATGAGATGATTGATCCCCACCTGTAGCTCATTCTTCTTCCATAGGTACTCATCCTCTTTCTGGTGTGCCATGTTCGCCATGTCCCGGACCTTCACGACTTGGTCTCGTGTTGCCCTATCCTTGGCGGCAATGATATCATCCTTCCTTGCCAGACTTTCCGTTAGCTCATTGATGGCCAATTGCATCTCAGCCATCCGTTCATCACGTAGTGCTACAGCTTGTTGGCCATATTCCATGACCATCTCATTGTTGGCAACCATCGTCTGTGGACTCTCCTCCAGCTTCTGCTTTAGTAGTTCCATTTCTTCCTTGTTCGCCATCTCCCTTTCATTGACATATTGTGCACATGCTTCACGAAGCTGTAGTTCATTTTGACGAAAATGTTCCGCCGCAATTTCAGACTGTTCTTGTTGTTCTCGAATGTGTTGTGATGCGTTCTCCAACTCAGAATGATACCGTCTCCTCATAGCAAGACTTTCCTGAACGATGTGGGCCGCGCCTGCTTCTGCAAGTTCACCACGTTGTCCAAGCTCATAGATCCTTCTAATTGATCCTTCATCCATAAGATGTGCCTCAGCCAGAGCATTGGATTCTTCGTCCAGTAGGTTGTATGCTGTAATGAGGGAACTTCTCATGTATTCCATCTCTGAATTGACATGTTCCTGATATTCTTCATGATGTTGGTGAGAATAGACCTCTACATTGTTGATCATCTGATCACGAAGAGTAAGAGCACCTTGATACAGCGGATACAGATTCAGTCTGCTTTCAAGTTCAGTCCTTGCTTGTTCACTCCTTTCTAGCTTTTCGATGTTGTGTTGTAGTTGACGTCGAAGTCGAGTTTCGCTCTCATTCCTCGCAGCGCTACCAGACGACTTGCGTTTGGATGAGGTTGCAGATTTGCTCACCTCATCCTCCCGCGTGGCCGCGCCCGACGGGCCTCGGCCACTTGCGTCCTTGATAGCTGCAGTAGGGGCTCTCCCAGAGCGAGGTGACCTTGCCGACGTCGATCTGTTGGCACTCCCCCGTAGGGAACCAGTCTGACTGACCATTGTGAAGCTATTTGAAGACGCCCCACTTCCAGGCGCTCGGTACGAGACCGTACCGCCGCCCCCGTCCCGGCGTATCGTTGATCGCCTGTGCTGGAGCTGCAGGTGCAAAGGAAAAGTTCGTCTCGTTGCTGCTCGATTGGGGTTGTTGCGACATCTCTTCACTCTTCGGCGGTTCACTTCCGCTTGCTACAGTCCAACGACTTGTAGTAGGGCAAGTAGACCAGGATGCCGAAGGTGATGTCCGTGCGTGGGCCCACCGTAAGCTCGGCTGAGCTTGCGGCTGATAACCTGTGAATGGGCTGTGACTCAGCTCCAGGACGTGTAGTCTAAGATACCAATGGTCTATGCCGACAAGTTCTCCGTGATTCAACAGCAGCAGCCACGACCTTTTGCCATGAGCGGAGGAGCCACGTCTTGAGCCAGAGCGACATGATGTGAAGAGTGTTGCTCTGGTCATGTTAACTGACATGCCCTCCATTGTGGGTTGACTCATGTCTACTATACAATCACATAATAATATATAATGAATTATTAATATTATTATTAAACAACTCCAACCACCTTTCGCTCTGCCATCCATGCATCACAACAATTCACCTCTCCTATAGTGTCCTATCTTTGAAGCTTCCGCCACCGCCTTGTGCGGTACAACTGGTAAACTATTCTTTCCATCCCCATTCATTTTCTTGAAGATATAGATATGGTAATTGACTTTAGTTGTGGCTTGTGGCAGTCTACCCCGAGGCCCTGAAAATAAGAACTACGCAGGCCCACAGCCATACACAAATATTCCCAACAGCTGGAGCCCACCCAAAATAGCAATTGAGAACAACATTTATCAAAATTACTTTTGGGGCTTAGGTACTGCCATGTTCGCACCCAGGCGACTTAAACATACTATGTGAGTTAACCAAAAATATCCCCAAACATGTTTTCAATTTGCGCTAGGTATAAGCTGTTTAGGCTCAAATATTTCCGGAAAATATTCGGGAACCCGGGCGCCGCCTGCAAAATTTAATTAAGGTACGGTATGGGTCATACTTTTTTCGTCGGCCCGAAGCTGTTCTACAGAAAGCTGCATAAATTGAATCTGTTGTGCGAAGCTGCGTGCCCTTTCCTTTTGGAAGTAAGCAAATGTCAGCAGCCCGTGCGCAGACGCTTGCAAGGATAACCCCTCAAAAGCCATGAAACCAACGGCAATTGCAACGCAAGCCAAGTTTGAACAAACATCTCCTCACACGCAAGTCTCTGAAGCGCACGCGAAAAAGATCGAAGCCTTTCTGTGACAGCTACTAGAATGAGATGCCCCCAAACATTAATGCTTCAGCAAAGCCCTGCGCTCAAAGCCATGTGGCAATGATGTTGGCTAAACCCAAAACAGACACATGAATGAGTAACGCAAGGCAAAAAACTAAAATAGCACCAGAATCAAGCTATGAACAAGCTTTGGAACTGAATGTCGCCCAATGGCTTTGGAATCCCGAAAAAATCAAATGGGTGCACCCGCTGCCTTTGATTCCATCTGTTGCGCACTTTGTGCGCTTTCAGGAATGCCGTGCCATTGCATCGCATGCTCTGCTAGACTCCCTCGCCCAAGAGAGGGAAAAAAGGGCAAGCCGTTGATTCAGCAACTGAAGCTCATTTGTCATGCTCAATGGAAGTAACGATCTTCTTCACGCTCTTCGCGACCTGCTGAAGCCAGAAACATCTAGGGGCCATCGCCGGAAATCACCCTTACACTGCTGAGCGGCAAGCTTCAGGATGAATGGGAACCACCAGCCAGACGCCCTCCTTCCCTGATGTAATGTAATTTCATGGATTCAAAAATGAGGCATGTGATCAGTATGAAACCAATGTCCCTGGACACTATTTCCATGAGATTCTATGAGCACCGCTCGGAAAGTTTTAAAGACACGCGAAAACATTGGCAAAGGCCCGCCTCTCTCATTTCCTTCCGAAGTTTGTAGAGGTCAATGCTGCGAGCTTGGCCATGAAACTGCTTGATGCCTTTCAGCAATGCTCCAAACACACACACACGCTTCGACATTGCGAGCGTTCCCTGCCGTTGACAAATCCCCTTGCTACAGCACGGCAAAGATCTGCAATAGTTGGTCAACTGCATACTTTCCAAAGCAGAACTACACAAAATACATCATCAGGATATCATGCACAATATTGGTTTTGCAAAAGTTTCTGTAATATGCTATACTTGTTTTTTCCCCGAGAGTGTCTGAGCAGAGGGTTCTTCTAATAGTGGAGGTCTGCTATACACCTTCATATGTTCACTTCAACACCTGTTCACATCTTCTCATCTTCAAACCTTCACATCTTTGCATCTTCACATCTTCCCATCTTCACATCTTCTCTCTCTCTCTCTCTCCTTCTCTCTCCTTCTCTCTCCTTCTCCCTCCCTCTTCTCATCTTCACATCTTCTCATCTTCTCTCTCTCTCTCTCTCTCTGCTTCTCCCTCCCTCCCCTCTCTCTCTCTCTCTCTCTGCCCTCTGTCACGGTCTCTCTCCTTGTTTTTCTTTTCTCTCTTGGGGCCGCGGGCAATGCCGACAAGGCGACACGAAGCGGCAACCCTTTCGCACAAAATGAAGTTCGAGTGTCGAAAGCTGACGCAAAAGGGCGATTTTGAAGTGACGGCGGCAACCCCTTCACACGAAATGAGGTTCGGGTGTCAAAAGCTGAAGTAAAATTGCGATTTTGAAGTGGCGGCGGCAACCCTTTCGCACGAAATGAGGTTCGAGTTCGAGTGTCAAAAACTGCGATTTTACATCTTCCGCGGCCACCGTTTTGCATGGAACGATGTTCGGGTGTCAAAAACTGACGGTTTTTTGCGAGCTTGGTTGGTCCGGCGGCAACCCTTTCGCACGAACTGAAGTTCGAGTGTCAAAAATTTCGGTAATATTGCGATTTTACGGTGTCCGCGGCGACCCTGTCACACGAAACGAGGTTCAAGTGTAGAGCCGGTGTGTGCGAAAGGGTTTGCGCGTAAAAGCGTCTGTGTGGTGTGTAAAATAAAAGCTTCTGTGTGTAAAAGCGCCTGTGTGTGAAAGTGTCTGTGTGTAAAAGCTTCTGTGTGTAAAAGCTTCTGTGTGCAAAAGTCTCTGTGTGTAAAGTCTCTGTGTGTAAAAGCGCCTGTGTGTAAACGCTTCTGTGTGAAAAAGCATTTGTGTGTAAAAGCGTCTGTATGCAAAAAGGTTCGCTTCTGTGTGTAAAAGCTTTTGTGTGTAAAAGCTTTTGTGTGTAAAAGCTTCTGTGTGTAAAAAGCTTCTGTGTGTAAAAGCCTCTGTGCGTAAAAGCTTCTGTGTGTAAAAGCCTCTGTGTGCAAAAGCGTCTGTGTGCAAAAGCGTCTGTGTGCAAAAGCGTCTGTATGCAAAAAGGCTCGCTCCTGTGTGTAAAAGCTTTTGTATGTAAAAGCTTCTGTGTGTAAAAGCATTTGTGTGTAAAAGCTTCTGTGTGTAAAAAACTTCTGTGTAAAAGTGTCTGTGTGTAAAAAGCTTCTGTGTGTAAAAGCTTCTGTGTGTAAAAGCGTCTGTGTGTAAAAGCTTCTGTGTGTAACAGCGTCTGTGTGTAAAAGCTTCTGTGTGCAAAAGTCTCTGTGTGTAAAAGCTTCTGTGTGTAAAAGCTTATGTGTGTAAAAGCGTCTTTGTGTAAACGCTTTTGCGTGTATAAGCTTCTGCGTGTAAAAGCCTCTGTGTAAAAGCTTCTGTGTGTAAAAGCTATACGAAGGAAACGATGCAAACTATTGTCTTTTAACATATGGTCTTGAAACTGGTCTTCTCGCCTGCCTACAATACATCTTTAAATATATTGTCTTGTAATATGTTGTCTTGATACTAGCGACAGAAGAACTTGCTCCTCTACGCTCGCGGGCCATCGGTTGTCTAGTTGAATGTTCTTTTCCTAGGATCGATGAGTTGGGAATCCTAAAGCACATAAAGGTTCAATCGTCAATTTTTTATGTATGCCCTCAGCTAGTCATGTCACAACCACCCAGCTAGCCCAGAACCTGGAAAACCCGTCAAAAGCCCATGAAAACAAAACGCTTGCCATTTCCCACCCATTCCCACCAGGGCCATCGAAAATTCGTCGGAAGAAAATGAAGGAAATATGGAAGAAATAGGGGGGCAGATGAAAATCTAGGAAAATGTCCAGGAAAGAGCCATTTTGTGAGATTTCCCTAAGGATGAAATTATTCTAAGGGTATTGGGCATGCCTGGCACCCACCCAAAAACCAAAGTGGGCAGCTGCCACAACCACCCAACTAGACCAGAAACGGGAAAACATGGAAAAACGTCAACCCAATGATGGACAAATGCTTGCCCTTTCCTACCCATCCCCACCAGGGCCATTGAAGGTTAGGAGGAAATGAAAGAGGATGGGAATGTGGGATAAATAGGGAGAAATATGAAAGGTTGGGAAACTTCTAGGAAAGAGCTGTGCTGTTTTGCAAGATTTCCCCAAGGGCGCCCTTCAAAAACCAAAGCGGGCAGCTGCCACAACACCCCACTAGCCCAGAAATTGAAAAAATGTAAGAACCAATGAAAACCAACATTTGCCCTTTCCCACCCATAACCGCCAGTTCCCACGGGAGACGCTATTCTAGGGATACTTTCGACCGCTTTAAGTTTATATTTATATGGAATGACGCGCAAACCTCATTAACCCAAGGTATGTTAAAAAGTTAGATAATAATTTTCAATTTCCAACATGCACATTCGCACACCCACCCCTTTAGGAAATTATGCAACGAAAATTATTCCAAAACAACTTTCCCGCCAAGAGGCCCGAAGCAGTGCGGGGGGTAGGAAGTCCATGTACTAGATACAAGCAACAGTAGCTATGGAACAGTAACAGTTGAGGCTAGACATTATCACAGCAGCAGCAGTAAGGCCTTCTTTGTAGATCTATATAGAGGTGCTCACAAAATCTTCATACAATAACTTCTTGTGAGAATAACTAAGCTAAGAAGATCGTCGAGAAAGGGCCGGCTGCTGTAGAGCGGAGCCTACAAGATCTTGAGACAAGAATCTCGCAAGAGCCTCACACAAGAGCTTTCATACCATCACCTGTAAGGCATGGCATCTGCAAGCTCTTCATGCAAGGACCCTCTGAGAGAGGATCCCACAAGGATCTCCGCAAGGTCTTCTGTTAAGGACCTGTACAGGATCATGCAGAGCACGCTCAAGATCTTACTGCAAGGCCTCTTAAGTCTTAAAGAGGGTTTGAACAGAATACCCACAAGATCTTCTCAGAAGGACTTGTACAAGCCATGACAGGACACCCAGAGGATTTTACGGCAAGATCTTCCCAGAAGGACCTGCACAAGAGAGGATTTCACTCGGATATCCACAAGATCTTCGCAATAGGAGCTGCGCAAGATCGTGCAAGGATCTTTTGGAGAGGATTCCGCCAGATCGCCACAAGATCTTCTCAGAGAGACTTGTACAAGATCATGCATGCATGGACCTCTTATAGTCACGATCTTGCAGGTGGAAAAATCAAAAAAAAATCTTATGAGTTGGAAAAATGACAGATAGAACGCTTTTTTCCAGTCTTGCAGGTAGAAATCCTATATGACAAAAACTCAAGATTACGTATATATATATATACACACACACACACGTTTTTCTCACTTTTCTATGCCTGCAAAAATGGTTAAAAACATCACGAAACTATATATGTATATATACACGCAATCTTGACGTTTTCATAAAGGCAAAATTGCATCTCTTAAAACGGGGCATTTCGCGTGTATATATATATATGTGTATATACGCGAAACCTCATTTTTGCTCACAGATAGAACAGGGCCTAATTTTTTTGCATATTGTCCGATGCCACAAAAATGACAGATATACATGTGCTATATATTTTTATACAACATTTTAAAAACTATTTATATACCATTTGCTATGTTTCCCCTTTTTAATGATTATAATAAATATAAATATTTTCTATCTGTGATTTTTGTTTCCCTTTTTAAATTGAGAGCCATCCAATATTGAGAAATAAGTTGATTCCAAAAAGGATGTCGGCTTAAATTGAAATATGTTTTGACTAAATTTCAATCCTAATAAAACCAAATCCAAAGTAATACCGCTTCAATTTCATCATACTCTGGACGTAATTTACAGTTGGTTTAAATCTTGTGGAATGTGAATTAGTTAAGAGCAAGACTAGAAACGTTTCTGAACGAAAAATGAGAAAACACATGGGGACAACCACCGTTGAGTCAACATAAGAACAAAACAATACAAAACAAATGGGAATATATATATACATATACACCTGTATTTTAAAAAATGTTAACACCTTATTTCTCCATGCTGTAGTACATGTTGATCAATATTCCTCCGTTTTTGAATTAGTTCGCCAGGAGATTTCATCAGTTTTCCTCATCTATTTGATAATTTTATAAAAGGATTTGATCAGTTTTCCAAACCTAGTTGATAAGTTTATCAAAAAACATGTTTCCCACCTATTTGTTCATTTTATAATTTGGTTTCATCAGCTGTCCCAAGTTTTCCCAATCTATCTCTCCAGTTGATCATTAATTTTTTTCTTCAGTTCTCCAAGAAGTTTTCCCAACCTATTGGTACATGTTGTCATTGGATTTCATCAGTTTTTTCCACCGGTTTCTTGAGTTCATCATGATGTTTGACCTGTTTTGGTTGTCCGTTCCTTCATTGTATCATTAGATTTCATCAACCTTCCTCAACAAAGTCTTCATTGTACCAGTCATTTTCATCAGTTTGCTCCCACCTACTTGTTCTTTCTCACTAGTCACTAGATTTTATGCGTTTTCCCCAACTACTTGTTCATTTTATCATTGGCGTTCATCATTTTGCCCATTCATTCCTTGATTTTATCATGAGATTTCAATCAGTTCTCCCCACCTATTTGTTCATCTTCTCACTCGGTTTCATCAGTTTTCCCCACCTCCTGGCTCATTTAATCACTGGATTTCATTGGTTTTCTCCATTTCTTCCTTTTATCCGTGGATTTCATCATGTTCCCGTCCTATTGCAATGTGTGTACTATGCATTTTTTTAAACTAATTTATCTATAATTTCAAATCAAGTATCTAGAAATATGTTGCTGAATGACATAGAGAAGGATATAAGACTGGAATACATTCCGGATACAAATCCCAGAAGGAAAAAAATATCCCCGAGGGCATACCTTCTGGCATTCTATCTGGCATATCTTCTGGCATTCTATCTTGCCGTTGAGGTCCAGCGGTGCTCACTGAGCTCGGAAGGTCCCAGGTTGAGGTCCAGCGGTGTTAAGTGAGCTCGGAGGGTCCCAGGTTGAGACCCAGCGGTGCTCACTGCGCGTGGAGGGTCCCAGGTTGAGGTCCAGCCGTGCTCACTGAGCTCGGAGGGTCCCAGGTGCAGGTCCAGCGGTGCTCACTGAGCTCGGAAGGTCCCAGGACAAAGGGCGAGAGGGGGTGACAAG